CATTTCTAGAACGATGCTCTACCGTCTGAGCTACAAGGCCAAGTTGGGAACGACTGTGATTTTGCTTGAGTTGTTATTGACAATGCGGAGTTTCGTCCTTTTACATGTCGTTATGCAGTTACTTCTGCAAATGTTGATATATATATTTGTGCTTTTTTGCTCTTAATTGAGCCATGTTTCCTTGTGGATATATATATGTAAGGTGTGTTTGTTCTTCTACACAAGTATGACCAACCGGGCAAGCAGAAAATTCTACTTGACCGCGGTGGGAATCGAACCCGCGACCTTCGCATTTCTAGAACGATGCTCTACCGTCTGAGCTACAAGGCCAAGTTGGGAACGACTGTGATTTTGCTTGAGTTGTTATTGACAATGCGGAGTTTCGTCCTTTTACATGTCGTTATGCAGTTACTTCTGCAAATGTTGATATATATATTTGTGCTTTTTTGCTCTTAATTGAGCCATGTTTCACTTGTGGATATATATATGTAAGGTGTGTTTGTTCTTCTACACAAGTATGACCAACCGGGCAAGCAGAAAATTCTACTTGACCGCGGTGGGAATCGAACCCGCGACCTTCGCATTTCTAGAACGATGCTCTACCGTCTGAGCTACAAGGCCAAGTTGGGAACGACTGTGATTTTGCTTGAGTTGTTATTGACAATGCGGAGTTTCGTCCTTTTATATATATATATATATATATATATATATATATATATATATATATATATATGTATATATATATATATATATATATATATATATATATATATATATAATCGTCGGATAGAATAAATTCACAGCTGCGCTCGTATGTAACTGGACAACAAAGTTTTCTTGAATCATCCGTCTTTGTATGCTCAAGAGTCCTTCTGCATGGAAGTCACAACAACTTGTTTCAAAAAAAAGCTTTAAATGACAAGTTTCCGCATTTGTAAGATAATTTTCGAATCTATACTTTTATTTATTATACGACCTATATACTATAGCCTGGTTCATGCAGAGGAAAAAAGTATCATGGCTTGAAGTTAACTGTTTGAATGCCAAGTGCATGCTTTTATAATATGGACAGTTATTCCAATGCTCGGAACGGAAAAGGTGAATATATATATAAAAGAAGATTATGGCTTACCGTTACCTATAAAATTTCAAGGTGGCCGACAGTGTAATTTTCATGCTAGACAATACATGCATGAAGTACATTGAGCGAGAAAAGCTGTTATCTCCTGGACCACCCATACACTGCAATCATCAGACTTAAATCAATAATGAATCACAAGTTAGTCTGAAAAAAGTTTTTTTGCAACTAAATGCTTCACTAGTAATAAAAACAGAACGTCGATTCAACATGGTAAAAATATTGGAGGACCTGACAGTTAAACCTGATAATTAAAAAAACCCTACAAAAAAACTAAACTAAAACTAAAAATCACAGTATAAAAAGTCTAAACGTCAAAAGTTTAAAAATATTTTTACAATTTGCTAAAAAACAGTCAAGCGTCAAAAATATCCTGAATTTTAGATCTAAACTTTGTAATAGATAATTCCTCTTTTAAATAAGTTGGCAACAAGTTAAAAAGTTTTGCTCCTTGAAACATAAACGATTTTCTGCCGCACTCAGTTTTCACCTTCGGTAATACGACATTTTCCCCATTATTTCGCGTGTTGATGCTGCATGTGCTCAATCCGTTAAAAGTAGTTATTGTAGGTTTCTGGAGCAGCACCATTTAAGCATTTCCATGCATCCAAAATAGATAATCTATATGGGGCTGTTTACATCAGCCTGGTTACCCGAGATTCAACGAAGCGTGAGAGGACTTTGAGGTATTGAAAGAAGTCTTTAAGACACCAAACAAACACATGCTGTTGTTGTGGTGATTATACGACTGCCAGGATCATGTTATCTGCTCATTTCAATACGTCAAAATCATCTCACGCTTCGTTGAATCTCGAGTAACCGGGCTCATGTGAACAGCTCCTATGACACACCGTTTTGAGATCCAATTATTGATTGATTTCTCTCCGAACACAATTTTAAAAGAATGATCTTGTATTTTCTGAAATCTATTTACCATTGTACTAGAACCAATCGCGAGTAGCATGGAAGGAGTGTCAGTAAAGGAGAATGGTTTTATCATTACTTTAAATATCGACTCCGCCAAATGTGTTGTAACCGTTGATCTAATTAATGCTAATAGCCTAACCCTTGACACTGCCTTCTTGAATAACTTGTCTGACTGTTTTTTAAACGTCAACGAACTGTCCATTAAGACACCCAAATACTCGTAGATTGTTGAGTTTTCTACTTTCGTTGTTCCGACCATTATATTTATCTCAGTTGAATTGGATAGTTTCTCCGTTTTTCCTTTCTTGAAGTTTATAGTTAAGTTATTGCATGCATGTTCAAGCCAATTTACTACATAATCGAATTCTTCACTTATAATATTTTTTATATCTTCTTATAGGACCTTTATCTGAGTAAAACAATACCATATCATCAGAATATAATAACGTTTTACATTTCTCTTTATTCAGTCCACAATCTTTTATGTGTAATAAAAACAGCAATGGTACCAATATTGCACCCTGGGGAACTCCATTGGCCACGGATCTCTCATCAGAATCTACACCGTCGTATTTGACATATTGTTTTCGCTTAAACAAATAATCTTTGATCCATTCCAATTTTTGGACCAGGAACTGGTCCCTAACTGCTGCTAATCTTGTTGTTGTTGTTGTTGTTGTTGTTAGGGGGCGACGCTCTTTAAAAAAACCTCAAGGCTCTACCGCATTACTTGTTTGATCGGAATGAAACTTGGCACAATTATTCTAAGCAATATTCCGCATCGATTGACGGAGTTCGAATTTTTACTTTTGACCTTTGAAGCAAGTTACAAGCAATTCTTGACTATATTTGCAGCAAATAATATATACATATCATTAATATTCAGCCTATATATAAGTAAAGGCAAACGATTAGAAATACATTGTCCTCTCTATTGTTGTAAATACAATGCAGTTCAGAAACTCGTTCACGCAGTTCCTGGTCCACTATACGTAGTACGATCGTACTTGTTGTGCTGAATGCCATGCGCCGGTAACTTGGATAGGAGGACCGAATGGTCCACTGTATCAAATGCCTCCTGCGGATTTGCATATACTACATAAAAAATGGAAAACATTTTGGGAGAACGAGAAATATACTCAGTGGTTTCGAGTTCTCCCAAACTCCCACAAGGGTTTCTATAACTGTATAGAAACATAGGACAAAATGTCTTCTGTTTCACGCTCGTACTATAAATGTTACATTATACTCCTGTATATAGTTGCATTTATCCATATGCATACGGATATGGTCAGATAATGAAGTTATGGCTTGGGTTCATTTTACACCGACCTTTGCGAAAACCATATTGATTTTAATTCAGTAGCGTTTTACTTTCCAAATATTCATAAATTCGTCAATGAACTAGTCGTTTTTATAGTGCTTTTGAAAAGATTGGCAGCACAGAAATTGGTCTGTAATTGTCGAATGAATCTCTGCCACCAGATTTGAAACTTGGTGTTATTTGCCACACTTCTCAACAGTAGCAAATAAGGTTGTTGAATTGACATATTGGCAAGGTAGCAATGGGCAGATGATATCTCTTCAGCTTCATCGCAACTGGTTTCGTGTTTTTCCATGCATCAAAATGAACAACTGGTTTCGTGTTTTTCCACGCATCAAATTTCGACTCTGCATGATAGCATTTTGCGTTGCAAGGTATCAACACCAATCATATTTTTTTACAGTTCGTCGGCACTTTTAAATATAGGTTTGTTGCATGACAGCTGAGTATTGGAGAATATTTTCACTGATTGATGAGGAAATGTTGAATGAATGAAAATTGAAAAAGTCGATGTAACCAAACGCATATAAAAAATCAATGTAATTAAAAGTATGTCGCATACAGTGGACGTGTTTAGGGCATTTCGATGAGTACAAACCAATTTCTTTAATTGTTTTAAGATTGTAAGGCTAAAATTCGTACATAATCATGTAATTAGTAGACCGATCGTATAAAATAAATAAAATATTGACCTAGTACGTTGTATGGGGAAATCTCAAAAGTAATCTCACCGCTATTGGAATTTGGAAAGAGCTGCACAAAATGAGTAAAAGTCATAAGTTTCGTTGCGTCATGTAAAAAAATGTAACCTGTTGGAGACTGACAGATGACGCAACATATAATTGGGACAATTGTCAAGGTAACGTAATGGCATATGTATGTAATATGTGATGCGTTATACAGAGTGTATCGGAAATAAGTAGACAATTTTGAAATATTTAGTAGACTATAAAGTTATGAAAACATCGCATGGACTCGTGAAAATATGGGCACGTTATCATCGTCAGCTTAATGTAACACTAAGTGTTACATTGAGCTGACGATGCTAACGTACCCATGTTTGCATGACTCTATGCAAAGTGTTGATAAATTTATAGTTCATTAAATATTTCAAAATTGTCTACTTTTTTCTGATACACCATTTAGTGTAAGTGTGTGTAGAGACGCGAGAGCGTGTGAGGGACAATTTGAGTTGAAGCAGCTAGTGGTATACGTGTGATAAATATATTGTTTGAAAACTTTGAACTTGTTGGGGATTACAGTCCATTGCGGCGAACATTCACGGCAATTACGCGGGTGAAATCAATACATTTCCTTTACAATTCATTTTCACTTCTTATTTTTATTGATTCTTAGGCGCTTCATCAAAATCGCTCTAATCCTTTCTACATGACTCAATGATGAAGTTGGGTGTAACGTTCGGTCGGCTCGGATAAACACATGCACGTGTTTTGCCTTGCATGACCATGCATAATCGGAGTGGCTATCAAGTTAACTTTACACATACTCAGATACACGATTGGATTCATTTCAGTAAGTGAGCACTTTTTGTTTTATCTCCAATCAACAAGCAGGTCACTTATTTTGTCACAAGAGCACGGACACAACACGTTCAAATAATATCATTTAATGGCATGACTGCACTAGAATACATACTGTAATGATAATATTAACGGTATGATTTCTGGTAGCGAGCTCTGGGCCCTGGACCACCAAACTTCTTTGCCTCACTACGTCTGGGATCAGCAACCAAGAGAGAACGATCATATTGCGTTAGGATATCTTTGATTTCCTTCTTTGATGCCTCATCCACGTCTGATGGGGAAAGAAAATGGAGGATAAGTGGGAGAACTTCAGATAATCACAGGGTAAGACGGAGAATTCAAACGCTTACTGTAGACACGTCAGATTGTTCAGACAAGAACGTTTCCATTGCGTTTTAACCCTTTAAAGCTTTTGAAATATGCGGGGGAAGGAATCATTTCTTTGCACTCAAACGGTGTAAACAAAAAAAATTGCTTGGGGAGAAGGGAATAAAAATTTCAAGAACTTCGATATGTCGTTTCCTTTCGCGTTAATCGAAGACAGGCAACATTATCGATGATCAAATATTGTCTGCGTCTTAGTTCAGTGAATTTTTAATCAGCATATTTTGCAATTCTACGGAATAATGTATGTTTGACTGTGATCCGCCAGTGTTTTCCGAATTGGTATAAACGGCTCGTTGTTTGCACTTGCGATTTTCTTCTTTTAATAGATGTGAACGAGTAATTACTGTAGTCATAAATGCATTGATGTTTCGAGCTCCTACTTGAAAATCCATAACTATTCACTCGTTCACGTCTATCAAAGTAAGAAAATCGCACATAAAATCGCAGGAAAAATTGCAAGTGTAATCGGCGCGCTGCATGTCTCGTCTTGACTTTTGAGGCTCGTTCACACTTGCAATTTTATGTGCGATTTTCTTTTGATAGATATGAATGAGCAATTAGTTACGAATGCTCTGAATAATAGGAACTCGTATTTGAAAATCAGTAACTCATTACTCGTTCAGATTTACCAAAAGAAGAAAATCGCACATAAAATCGCAGCAAAAGTTGCGAGTGTACACGGGCCTTAACGTCAAATGCTATTAACAAATTGTTGAATCGCGTGATCCACCGCTTTCATCGAATTACTATGTTTTCTAGATTCTCGGCATCAAACGACGGGAATTCCGGTAAGCTGTTCGCCATATCCCAAGTAGGAACGTTTCAAATGAACCTAAGACACACTCATGAGGCAAACTTAACGCGAACGCTTTAATTGTCAAGTTACTTTTGAGCAGTACTGTGTAATCCAGCCAAAGTGACTATGCCGATTGAAATTAAGATGTCTCCCAACTATGACGGACGCACTCGTTTTAACAGGCGTTATAATGCCACCTATATTTTCAATGTTTATGTTTCAAATTTTTGTCAACATTTTTATATGTTCAAGCGAAATAGGTACAACATCTCCTCAAGCCTATACGACGACAAAGTATGTACCAGTGTTTCTTTTTAATTCTTGCTTTCCGATAAAAAAAATGCTTCAGAACTTCACCAACCCAAATGAAGCAAAAATTCGCGAGACTCTAGCTCTAGACAAGAGGCAGGACTGTAACAGGGGTTAAAACACAATGAAACATGGTTCTCAAACAATCTGACCTGCATGTCTGAGCAAACATTTTCCAAGGGTGTCGTCTCCAGACTCGCAGTCAAGATACAGTCGAGGAGTCCTTATTTAGATAATAGGGAGTTTACGATCTACGACGCGGCCAGCTCGACGTGACTAGTCAATTATTCTGCTAGAAATAAGCTACAGAAATTACTTATGCTGCCAGGACTTTTAAATACCCATACACATATTTCAATTGTGCTAAGAACCTCCGATGTCCAGCTGATATTGCAGGTTCATATAAGCTTTCAAACAGCTATCATGTTGCTGCCGCTTTCATGTCATCGAGAGGCCGTGAAAGTGCCTCATTTGAAGGCGTCGTAAGAATGACAACCCTATCATGGGAGCACAAACTATGCATACTTATTGTCACGCGTGTGGTGTTTTGTTTTACAAGCGCGTCTTTAAGCTGGCCGCTTCGTAAATCGTAAACTACCAACTGATCTTGGGAAAGACTACGAGGCTTGATAGGTAGGTTAGCCTAGGAGAACTTTTTTTATACCAGAAACTTTTGCCATTCATGATGAACGAAACTTAAGTAGAAACTTTAAGGAAATGCAATTTTTGCGAATTCTTAGACTGACGGCTCGTTTTTGATAGAAATCAATGAAAATTGGTTTGTCGGTGAACAGATAATTAACCTACAAGTTGAAATTTTTGGGACTTACATTTCTGGTAATATGCGACCAAGGACTTGGCAATTGCTTGTCTGATAGCTAGAAAAGAAAGGATAAACATCTTAAAAAAAACTACCTTCTAGTGAAAACTAAAAATAAAAGAATTTCATTGTAAAGCAGAGTTTTTTTGGTCAAATCCTTCTATGTAAAGTAAGTACAGGTTTAAGCGATTCACCAGTCAAGCAAAATATCATTTGTTTCTCAAATACTGGTTTAAATAAGAATAACATGTGCCTAGCCTAAACTGCTGAGAATAAGTGCAAATATCTTGCATTCAGAGCTTTTAGAAACTTGTCAGAAAATATCTGACTTCACTTGAGTACAATATACTGGAGTTGTTCAGATTTTCTAAAATATGTCTACTGTGGTTTTAAAGAGGATTTCACAAGTTTATTTTATTCAGTTATGGGTCTCAGTAATTTTTCAAGCTTGCTTCAGCGTGAAAGGAACAATTTTCTCCTTGGGGAGGGTTAAAATGAAAAAGTTTAAAAAAAGTGAAAAAGTGTTAAAGTTTTACACTATAAGTATATATAGCCATTGTTCATTTGTTCTGACTTTTGGGTTTTGCTACAATCAAAGTGCCAGCACCCTTTTCTTAGAGGCTGGGGCAGCTACACTACTGTATACACAAGTTTGTGCTTTTTGAGCAATGTAGGTGTCATTAGAAGCAGTGCTTCTGTGTGATAAGAACATGCTGGGGAGTATGTACCTATCAAACTGGTAAGACATCACTGTAGGCTTGATTTAAATATCACACAAAAGTAGCATTAGTCTACACAGGTTATGTTGGTCAAAAAAGTGACAAAATGCTCCTTTCTTTCAGTAAAAAGCATTTTTCCCTGTACATGCTTTTAAGCCAATGAAATTGCTTTTTTGGTGGTTAACGTGCTTTTCACCATATACATATAAACTATTGTAATTATAAATATGTGTGTAATTTATGCATACAAATAACTCCTGGGCCATGAAATGGCTCTTGGCCTTAGCTTCATTTTATGGCATATTGGTCTGGTCTTGGCTGAGAGTTATTTCATGACCGAGGCTTAGTTTTTCTTCATTCGGACGTTGCAGCCTGCAAATTAGATATTCATATACCGGCATGTTTTCTTACCATAGACTTGTGAAACATGACCACCACCTTTAACCCGGACTCTGATATCAACACCTTCGAATTTTTCTTTTCCCAATAACAGAATTGGTTCTTCGAGCTACAGTAGATACAATTTGAGGAAACTATGTATTTGTATTTTGCTGTCAATCTGCCAAAATAAATGTGGCATTTCAACTTATATCTTACCTTAAACTTTAATGTTTCTGGCTGGACAAGATGAAGTGGTTGACCGTTCACTCTAACCATTCCATTACCTTCCTTGCAATATGCAACTGCAGTTGCAGTTTTCTAAACCAAGGTAAAATGAAAATATGATGAAATGAAAATATATTGAAATGTCTTGTGGGTTAATATTTTTCACACCTAGACGTATACCTGGTCCAGGCTATGTTAAAGAACATCATGTAGGTTAAACTCATAGCAAAATTAGCAGATGTAAACAGGGCCAGTCAACCGCAAATAATGGGGCCATATAGTTGAAAGTTTATAATCTGATACTCTAGCTTTCACCAGCAAACTTGTCCTTAAACATTCGTGCACCAACATATGCCAATGGCACCAGTTAACTTATAGTTTATACAAAATATTTGCTTTCGTACTAAACTATTAAAATTGGCTGCAAAATCGAGCCAAAATATACCAGCCTGCAGCCTTTCACTATTGAGATTTTAAATAGAATCTGGCAAAAACAAGGACCATTCGAGTTGGCACAACAATTTGCTGAGTGAAAATAAAATTATCCACTATTCCTTATTTTGGTATGTGTTGTACAAGCAACTATAAACCAAACCAACACGTGTTTGAGAAGGTTTGACTCAGTGTATCTACTGACCTTACGACCGAACACTTGCACTGACTTCGACATTTTCTACAACAAAATATACTACGTAAGGTATTTTACAACCACAGGGTATTTTCAAACCACAAAAGGCCAAAAAGTAGGGCAAAAATTGGATTTTTTTACTCACTGAATTTAAACCTTCTAAAGAGAAGTTTATATGGCGTTCAAAGAGGAAGATAAATACGCATGCGCGTCCGATTTGAAAGCGTGAAAAGCCGAAGATCAACCAAAATGACTTGAAGAGTTGAGAACTGTCTTGATTTCAATTATTTGCGATTATTACCCAAAATTTCATGAAAAAATCATTAAATTTAAACATATTTTATGTTTAGACTTGCGTTTAAGTGGAATATTCGAGGGATATGAGACTTATTTTGATCAAAAATCGTAAATGTATAATACTGCCTGAAGCTAGGAAACCATACGTCAGAATGTGAATATCCTCCCGATAATACCCCGAGCTGTAACAACGAACTATTTTTGATCGAACAAGTCGGAACAACTTGCATTTGTTCAATCTTCTAATTTTCTGTTCTGATTGATACAAAACCTGAGATGTCGAACAAATTTTATATTTTTGGAGTTATTTGCGTGATATTTGCTCTGGCTATTTATCAATATCAAAAGCAGGGTCGTCAAACGTTAAGCATTGAGAAGAGGACTGCATTTGCATTGTGGAAAATAATAGAAAATCGAACAAGCAGCTATAGAAAAATTGCTGTGGGGTACGTCCACTAAACCTTTATCATTTCAGTATATAAGTGGAATAATATTGCACACCAGTTGTTATGTATACAACCTTATTCTGCATATGGATGATCGTAAATGATTATTATTTCTTTCCAACAAAAATCCTGCAAATACTATGATCTGCATGAGAAGATCCTGGAATGCCTGTGCGACTATAAAGGTGCTGTTTATATGATTTCGTTACCAGGGACACCCCTACCCCTGAGACAACTTTACCAAGCATTTGTATGATAAAATATCAAGCAAATACAAAGCGATAGTGTCTGCTTAAAAAGAAACATATTATATTTCGCCATTGCGCACACACCGCCCGGTAGAAAAGTAACCCTGGAGGCCATAGACAAAGTGTTTACATGGATAATAGTTGTCCCTACTGCTAGGGTTATACTCTTTTGTAAACAGGGTGACCCAATCGGACAAGAAAACCTTTCATATAAATGCTTGCATTTCAGCTGCTAATATGTCAATATGATCCTATCTCTATTCCAGGATATCTCGGGGGGTAGGGGTGTCCCAGGTACCCAAGATCATATAAACAACACCCAATCATGCTTTCGGGAAATAGGTTTAACTTTTGCTGATTAGAGACCACACAAAGTGAGTTGGGAATATCTGCAGGCATGATATTTATATATAAACAATCACTTTCCAAAGTAATATTACACATATTTGATCGGTCAGTAATAAATGATAGTACAGTAGATTTGACCGTAGTAATAAACAAATATATCTCATTTGTAAAGAGTACAAATTTGTAGGTAAATTAATCCTGAGAAATTGCCATAGAAATACATACAGTGCAAAATCCCCCCATGCGGACACATCTCAGCAGGATACCAACTGCTCTTGACCAAGAGAGGATACTGTAATTTGTGTGGTTTTCACTTGTCAATTATTAATCATATACCTTTTCTACCAGACCTAATATACTGAAATTATTAATATACTGAAATACGAATCAGTACCGATATATCCGAGTCAGTACCAATGTATATGTAGGGCATTGTGCTTAGCATGTGTTATTAACCCAATTTTATACTCTGAGCACCAGTGCTGGGGCACACAGTCTAGGTTCAGAGCACATGCCATGTTGAAGGAGTGAAGGAGGTGTGCAGTATTTACATGGTACCATCAAAACCAAGCGGATGCCTGAATATGTTTAAATATTTAAGAGAATATTATATATTTTTACGTGGGAAATGATGTCTACAGATGATGTTACTATAATCTTTGTATTTTAGGACAAATGCAAATATTGATCTGATTGTATCTGGTGTTGCACTACTTCGTGAGCTTGGTGTTGAGGAACGTGGTGCTGGTAAAGAATGCAGTGATATCAGTTCTTTGGATGTCTTAGAAGAATGTTTCTCATATTTTATGGACAAGGGAGCTGCTGCTGAACGACCAATCACAACCCAGGACTTGAACTCACAAATTATTTCAGCAATTTTGAGATTACCGGAGGCTCAGACACAGGTATTGTACGATATGTTTGCATGACATCAGTGGATGTCTGATCCTAACTGCAGACCTAATTTTAGCATTATTTTCCGGACCCCTGTACAGTGTACGAAAAATAGCTCTAACCCATCTAGCTCTATTCCTTATCTAAACGCAAGCTTCAAAACATTTCTGTAGCATTTTGTGGGAGGAAATGCTGCCTTGGTTGGTTTGAAATTTACCAAATTGCTCTCGGAAGCTCAGGTTTGTAGAGATATTTCTTCCTTTACGTACAGCAACATTGGACTTTTCATATTTTCGTCACGAGCTGTTTTAGTGTGCAGTATTGTACACAAGTGCGGCGCATCGATATGCGATGTGATTTTATAAAGAACGAAAATCCCGTTTATAATATCCGTATTGATTGTTTCGATAACTTAAACTTATTTCAGATGAAGAGAGTAATTCTCTACGCCAAGGGCCATATGCACGGGGAGTCCACCTAATTACTGCACTGCCTATGCAAGGTCGCATGTGTTTTCAGTTCCCTGATGCTTTAGCGTTGCAGTGTGTGCATAGTGTTGGAAATTTCTTAGAATGGGCCTCTGAGAATGGGCCGTAATCGACGGAATATCGAAATAAATTTGTTTTCTTCAAAAAAATCTCCGGCACATGTATGATGTGTGCATGGTTTGGAAGGTGAAACAATCTGCACAATCCGGCCGCAGGAAATTTTATTCACTGTTTGTTTCTCGCCTGGAGACCATGAATGATTGATCTCTCCGTGAATGTTGACGGCTAAAGATGACGTATATAAAAAGTCATTTAATTGGAGGAAAAAGAGCAACTGCCTTTTATTTCCTTGTTTGACATCGTTTTCGCGGACTTTAACTGCGGCCGATATGACCACGAGTGATGGCTTTCAGCAATGATGCATGTGTTTTATCTCAAATTTTCCGTGCATGCAGGCATATATAACGCCGTTCACACTATATAGCTAGCAACTTTTAAAACGATTCTATATGTGCGACTCTCTTCTTTTGATAGATGCGAACGAGTAGGAAAAGTTGTGGACGATTCTGCAAGGCCATATACTGTAAACGTCAGATGAAGTCAGATAAAATTTCGACTTTCGACTTTCAAAAGACAAAAATCGCACTGTAAAAATTGTAAATTAAATGTTAAATCTCTGCGTGCATCCGTATTCTACTTGAGATCTTATAGAATCGCTCGAGAACTTGGTTTCAAAATTTAACCGTCCTCGAACGCATAAAGGCCCACACACACTGGACGCGAATTTTTCATAATCAAGAGCAAATAAATTCAATTCCGAAGAAAAATTTTGGGAGATATAGGTACCAGACCATGCAGACTATAATTCAGTAATTACCAAGTATATCATGTATTGTCATTCAGTAATGTACTAATATTCAGTAATGTACTATCATTCAGATAATATACTATCATTCAGATAATACACTATCATACAGTAATTACCAAGAATATCACAGCATTGTCAAAATTAGCAAATTTTGCAAATTTTGAAAACTGAAAAATTCGTGATTTCCATCGCATGAACAAATTGCGTCCGCTGTGTGTCAGCCTGTAAGCCCGTTTTCCACCAGGCGAATTTATTCGCGCGACACGAAGCGATGTCTGAAATTCGGTGATGTGATTGGTATACGAAAAAATTCACCGCGAAAAAGTAGAGTCGCTATCTACTTTTTATCTGTTCCCGCGAATAAATTCGCCTAGTGAAAAACGGGCTGATAACCGTAAGAGTTTCATTACGGTAGTGCAAAATGTTTTCGCGCGAAATTCGTTATTGAAAAATGTATTCAACAAAATGTTGTTCGTGGATTCTATTCTGTCTATTTTAACAAGTTTGTGCAGCGTATATATTGTCAATAACATTGTCAGTAACAATGAGAAAAAACGTCATCAAATCGCGGGACCGTGTAAACGCAACGTTAAGTATCGTGTGAATAGCCTTGATAATTTTCTACCAGCGGAGTTCCATACCGGTTGTCCCTACCGTCGCAGTGATGCGATACATTTTTAGCAATTTGCCTAAAATTATCGCTTTCTATTAATTGTAACCTGCATTTTTACTATACACATACAGGTGATGTTGTGTGGTCCTGTCGGTCCCAAATTGGCAACATTACTTCCGACGAGTATCGTGGTTCCCGACAACTGTACGATGACGGGAGACGAGAACCACCTGATATTGGAATATCAACGGCAAGAGAAATGGGGAAATATTGTGGCGCCTGTTGCAAATAGATTTATTATGTCCCACGATGTGGCAAACTCTGCTCTTAGTACACTCGAAGCGTTTATTGGTAAGTACAGGCTGTATCGTTGGCTATGTTTTTACAGGCCGATTTATTGTTGTGCTGTTCGTTATGGGATCAGTCGTATAAGATACGTTCCAACATAACAAGGAATCAAAGTAGTGTGGTATAGGCCGTATATAGCTGGGCTGGTTGTATCCCGCCCGTTTAGCTTAAACAGTGGTTATGCTCAAAATAGCAAGCAAGTCTATCGTTTTGTTCATGAAGCAAACTAAATGCTTTTAACCTTAATACAGCGATTTGTTTACAACTACATATTATTCTGTGCATAATATTCAAGTTGACTCGTTTAAGAGAGATGTAAGGGTGGTATTTAAATTTAATTATCCACCGTTTAGGCTAAACCAGCCTCAATAATCATGTGGACATGCACTTACTGTAACTTTTCTTTCGCAATAAGAAACACCGAGTCGTTCTTTTGGCAAGGAATCACCCCCTCTTCCAGTCTTCCCCCGTATTCAATTTTTTTTTAACAATCAAACATGACGCGGATGACAGCTAAATACTCCGCCGACATTTCCGAAAGGTGATTTATGCCGAAATAAATATCGGTTCCCTCCACAACGCAATGTCCACGATAATTAATGCCAGGATTGTGTAGCGCCTTCTAACAACTTTGCTACAAATGTGCATGCTCTTACAAGTTATGTCAAATTCCCAGGAGCAGAAAGGCTTTTGTGCTTATGAGATATTTAAGATTCGTGCAAACGGTCTAATTAACTGAATATCTTTTTGATGTTTGCATTCTAATATTTTTAGAGGAGACAATTGTGTTCAAGCCAAACCTTATCGTTGTTTCTGGCTTCCACTTGCTTGACAGTCAAGATTCCGAACTTTGGCAACAAAGAATTACCGCTGCAGCCGTTGCTTTTTCCCGCCTTCCACGTTCGGTTCCAGTCCACTTAGAACTCGCCAGTATGAGTCAATGCCCTGTGATGGTGGCTATCGTTAAGCAGTTGTTTCCGTTGGTGAACTCGATTGGTTTGAATGAACAAGAGTTAACCTTTATATCAAGGTGTTTGGGAGGACGACATGCCGAAATGAGAGCAGTGAAAAAGGAAGATGAAATTGGTATGCTTGCATGCCAGAATTATAGACCTCTTATGCATGATGACTTTCAGCTGCAATTAAGAGCTATTAGCTGAGCTAAAGACCACGCGTGACTGTTATCTCAGTAAGTTACTCTCGTGTGCGGATAGTTTTTCGTGAAGAATTCGCCTCGAGAGGCAAATTTCTCACGTGTGCGGATGGTTTTCGGGCTGAGCTAACTGCCTCGCGAAATCGTTAGCTCAGCTGATAGCTCTCGTGTGCGGCGGGCTTAAGGTGTTTAGTTCGTCGTAATGGATGACTTGCTCTTTAGACTATTTTTTATTGCACTAAGTAGCAAAAAGAAAATAAATCAGCACAGCTTGAAAGAGGAAACTAAAATGAGTGCAAACGTTGCAAAATTTTGTAAAATACGAAAAATATAGTCATGCGAAAATGCCAGATTTTGTATACTTTTGTATTTTGTGCGGAAATGTTTAGTTAATTCAGTAAAACACTTCTGCACGTAGTACAGAAGTATGCGAAATTTGCCAACTTCGCGTGGCTGTATTTTTCGTGCTCTACAACATTTCGCAGCGAAGCGTGGCAGTTTTACTAGTTTTGATATGCTCTTTCACGAGATATTCTTTTTATCGCCAACATAAACAGTCTAAAGCTCCGTTCACACTACACTCAATTTATTGGCACGGTACGGTGCCCATTTTAGTGTAGTGTAAACAGCTTAAAGCAAAAGTCGTCCATCGATGCATGAATGTAGAATCCGATGTCAAAGAAGAGTCATATCGTCATATAATCATCCCTTTGTTCTTGTTTCCAGGCTTTTACAGTGACATAGCAAGTTGGATACTTGAGCAATACGGCCTCATTTCCCTAGAAAACTCGAGGTTATCCCGGGTACATTTTCACTGCTTATATGTACACATTCTGGTCGTTGTACCCCAACACTGGAGCTCAAACGAAGCAAGCGTTGGCAAAGGGGCGTGGACAGCTTTTTCTCAGGCATGTGACACTGAGGTCGCCGATAATGACAACGCTGAACTTAGAATTCCAAGGGAGTTCATCACCTCATTGCTATCACCAAATACCATCAAATTTAATTCGGATGATCCCATTTCCGTGGTTTATAACGATGCGATTAGGTTGCACATTAGTCCAGTTTTAGTTTGTAAACGACCTCTTAAGACTGTAGGTTTAGGTGATGCTATATCGGCGTCTGGTCTTTTGTATAATGAATTTAATGAGTAGATTTAGTTAGGAAATGTTTAAATGTGACAGATAAATTATATCACACCCAAAAATGTCCATGCACCCACTCCAACCAACCTCAACTCATCAACATTGCTGCATCAAAACGCCGTTGAACTGGCCTTATATAACCTCACAGCCGTCTTTGCGAATACCAAGCACCGACATAGATAAAATATATTGTGAAAATCATTTGTTCATGCAAACGAATTTTACTGTCATCGTGCATAAAAATGCTTATTTCAAACATTTATACACTTGTGGGTCCCAACAAGGTGCTCACAAATTCAAGCTGTAAGTATTGCATTGTTATATGGGTAATTTCAATAGTTCTTTTAGATACCCTGTACAACAAATAAAAGTCCACTTAATGCCAAAATCATATGCGTGGTTACAAAATCTTAACTCGTAAAAAATAACTCTTTAACTATATTTTGCATAGAGGTTTTAAGGGTCTTAATTTCCAGTGGAATTATACACACTTCAAATTCAAGCCATGCAGGAACAGTTGATGGAAAAAGGAGTCAATTATATAGGTCCTCCGACAGGAATCGAACCTACGCTTTTGCGATGCTGGTGCGATGCTCTTGCCACTGAGCTACAGAGGTAGCTGACAAGAGCAAGCGTGGTTAATGTGTGTATAGGATGGTAATGCCGGTAATAGGTGAGGGTAAATCGACTTACCGTTGATCGTAATTCGATTTACCCTCACATATTTTGCATAGTTAAATCCTACTTAAACAACTCTGATCGGCCAATTATGTCCTTAACTACATGCAGTTAAAAGTTAATATAACTGGTCTTTTACACAACTGGCTCCTGCATGGTTGCTTATTGGTCAATGCATAGGAGTACAGTTATTTTATTAATGTACTTGAATACAATTTTAATGATTGTTCCAAAAAAAATTGCGGAGAGTTATTTGCGAACTCGCCCCAGTGGCTCGTCCAATTTTGGGAAAAACTTCAAATATCACTCCTACTAATTTGTTTGAATTACGTTTGCATCGCCTACAGAATTACTCGTACTATTAATCCTGGGGCCGGTTGTTCGAAAGGCGTTTAGCTTAAATCTTGGATAAGCCAAAGTACCCCCATACATCTTGTAAATGATTGAACCTAACGCCTGTATTCAAAAAGCTCACTCACACTCACACTCATGGAGTGTGACATATGAATTTTGTTAATGCTGATCAATGAGAAAGTTTTTTTCTGAATAGGTGGAAAGATATAAGGTAAATCACTGAAAATCAAGCCCCTATTCGGCTGGAAATACCGCCATTGAAACCTTATGAGAGGATTAAGATCTCCCACTCAATGAGTTTAGGTGTGAGTGAGCTTTTAGAATACAGGCGTAAATCTTATGCATTAAATATGTACTTTCATTGACAATTAAACTATTTACTTCGAAATAGTTCGGCTATGATTTTTCTTTGTATCCTCCACGGATTAACATCAGCGAGTGCTTCTAGAATGTAATCACCTGAAACTATCTAAAGTTCCGCCCTGCCCTTCGCTATCTACGCAGGCTACAAAAGCACGTTTATTGTGCTGTTTCGGACCAAATCACGAGGCCCAGTAACATAATGATCCAATTAGCCATTTCCCAATCGAGCAGAGGACTGCGTTTAGTCGCGAACTGCAAAACATCTATGGACTGTTTGGACACAGGAAATATAAGTCTGAAGTAATTTGTCCATCCAAACAGTCCATAGATGCCTCGCGTTTGCGACTAGACCCAGTACCCTGCTCGATTGCGAAATTACTAATAGGCTTTGTAATGCTCGAGAATTGCGCAATAGCTGTCTTGTGTTGCTCAATGTATTTACCGCAAGTGTTGGTTTTCTCCAAACGATGTTAAATAAAATGGTACTTCGGCAATTTTTTTACTGGTTGCTTCGACCTGGAAAACAAATTATCCGGTATTTGGAGGAAATAAATTGGGAGTTACTGTGGGCGTAAGGCTGGACTTCCACCTCCACAAGTAGAAATTGTTCGCTACTGAAATATCTCATAGGTATACGAAGCATAAATAAGTGAACCCATTAATCAACCTAAAACATAAAGACTGTTCCCTTTGCCCAGTTTGGGAGTTAATAATAATAATGCATTCTAATCGTGCGAGAATTAATAAAATTGTAGGAATTTGCCTGTCAAAGAAAATATTAGGCTTTATAACTGCCACTCCACTGACTCCAGTGGTTGTTAAATAACCTGCCCGAACCCCTGCCAGGTCAGGCAAATAAATCAATATAAAGTGACTACTGTGTCTTGTTTAGCTAAAAATATACAGTCTGCCACGTACCCACAAACTTATAAATTGTATACATTCTACTAAAAGTTTGGCTATTTGAAAAAATTGCATTATGAAAATTTACCAAAAAGGCTGACATATAAAACTAGTTCTCTGTAACATGGCAATAAAACTTTTATTTAATTAATAATTGTAATGAAATCAAAACATGTTCTTGGCAAACATTTTTGCTTCTCATAACATAAGTTTTGATAGACTTTATAATACTGGCTTTGAGCTTTAATTTTGAGTCGTATATTAGTTATATACTAAAGTCCAGACGGAAGAAACGGACGATGAAACATTTATAACATCACAAGTAGATCAAGAAACCACAGCTTCGCGTAATTTGTGAAACAGGGAAAGCCCGGAAACGAAGAAACAATTTTAATTTATCATTTTAAAAACTAAAAATTAGGAAAAAGTATTTTTTATCAAAAACCAGGAGGGAGATGACTCATTTTTTGTCTTTGGATCGCGGTTTGTCAGCGGTAACTAGCCAGGCCATTTAGGACCATGTCGCGTCAGCAAAGCTTAAAATCCGCCATCTTTTTGGCTTCGCTTGATGATGGCGAGCACTCCATCCAGGAATTTTAGTACAGCTCAGTGGTAGCAACTAATTAAAAGAATTGTATTTATAATTGTTATAACACGCTCTGCATTCAATGTATTGAGTACTCTGTGTTCTACAAAAGTCTATTTCAGGGACGGCGGAGAGTCATATGAACTGCGGAGGCTACATCTTTATTCCTACTTATGATGTTATAAACACGATTCCAAATACTAAGCACTGCTCGGTAAAGAAGAAGTGTAAACATTTCTTAGTTTTACAGTAAATACAAACTAGGGGGGGCTTTAGACCCTCCAGCCCCCCAACGTTCCGCCGTCCCCGTATTTTAGAATATGTTGACCTAGATTTCAAATAATGAAGCTTTAGTGCCAAGTGGAAAGCAAGTGGACTTTTCTATGGCAATGCAGAATAGTTTCGTTCAATTTAGTTTAGTTATACACATTGTTTCTATCATGAACCGCTGGCTTTTTGAAACGGAGGGATTTTTTTAAAGTGGAAATTCATAAGAATTCCTTGTTTTGACATTATTTATTTTGTCTGTCTCTTGAGTTACTACGAGTCCGGTATTTTTTGCATGCGGCGATATAACGACGTAATAACGATGCAATATAAATCAGTATCTTATTATGTGTATACATTGTGAATAACTTTTCTACTGCTTCTATATATTTTATATGACTACAGGACGGATAGATAACTTGTCAAACCTGCATCTTGAATAATCTAAAGTCGCTAATTATCTAATTATCTAGCTAAATATCAAAACACAAAGTTTTAATACATTGTTAAAAGTTGCGTGCCCAGGTGTATTTCAAGTGTTTTGCTTCTGTTTCTTATTATTAGACCTTGATTTCGCAAACAAAATGCATGGAACGGAAACAATTTATGTCATTCCATTTTCCGTAGTTGCGCATGGTGACACAATCTTCCTGTCCATTGGAATCATTCGGTTCGCCACTTTCCCAATTTTTGTAGGATGGTTCAGTACCGTAGACAGTTTTAAACTTGTTTTCCCGATTAACTCTGAAAAGACCAATATATAGGTCGTGAGCGTTTTGATTTTTTATCTCATTGAAGATAAATCCATTTTCTTCAGCATTTGTTGGTACAGCCAAGTCGCCGCCTTGTGAAGTACAGTACTCCCTCGCCGTGGACGAAGATGATGCAACATTACCACTGATATAGTAGCAACGACCATTATATTCTTTCCAATTAAGCAGGCAAGTTGGGGCTATATATAGAGAAGATTTATAGTAAAGTCGCAAGACAACATAACGTAGCATTAATATAATACTAAAAATGAATAACGGATTCTGTTTGACTTTGACTTTGAGTTGTGTTAATGGCGGACACCCATTCTCGTCCCCAGGGTCTAGCGCATGAGACCGTGCGTAAGAAGGGCTCTGGGTACGAGAATGTGGCGGACATATTTGCCGATTATACTAGGGTTATTAATACATGAAATAAAACCTAATTTTACATGTGCAAACACTACGGAGTACACTACGTACGATATTGCTTGTAGTAAATATTGCGAAGTCTTTCCATATTGCAAAGTCTTTCCAAAAAGTGCGAGACGTCTTCGTTAATGGGTTAGCAAACGGAATTCTCAGGTTTGATCCGCAAAATGCAAAATGAAGCTCAACTTTATTTCCAGACTGGCTGTTAACGATTTTTTAAGTACCATAAATAAAAAGGCGATAATTTATTTTTTTTAATAACAAACGAAATTAAACTCAAGACATTCAAAATTACGCTATAAAGGTATGGCGGTGTACAAAGGTGAGTATACATATCCTTTTTTTATGAATAATAATAAGTAGGAAGTCATTTTATACTTCTATGTAATATTTATTATATCGTCAGCATCCAGTCTGGAATAAAGTTGAGCTCCAGTTTGTATTTTGCAGATCAAATCTGAGAATTCCGTCTGCTAACCCATACACGAAGACTTCTCGTACTTTTTGGAAAGACGTTTCGCAATATTTACAAGCAATATAGTACGCAGTGTACTCCGTAGTTTTTGCACAACCACAACTAACTATTCAATTTCGCACGACTACGACGTCCGTACTCAACCCAGGGCTTCGGGTACAGAAAACACACGGTCAACCGTAGTCCGTTGTCTGTAGTCGCGCAACTTAAAGTCCCCATTAACGGTGTTATGACGGGTGATGTTGAGTGACCACAGGTAGTTCGTAACGGCCATATGAGGCTATTATAATGTCTTGTAATATATTGTAATAATTATATTGTAGCTATAAATTATAATTTCAGATGCATTTCTACCCAACTTCTAGCAGGAACGTTTATATCCTTTTTAGACGCAACATCAAAATACTCAACATTGCCACCATTAACTATCTATTCGTACACGTTGCGTCACGATATAGAAAATTGATGATGACATGCCCTCAAATGTTTAGAAAGCAAGGACGTTTCATATGTTAAGTATAGCTCGATCCACATAATATAAAAGTGCCATATGATATGTAAACTAACACAAAAACTCGAACGTACCATTCTGCACTGATGAAACACTCGCGCCAGTAGTTCTTCTCTAAAGAAAAATGATGCGGCTCATTAAGATATCAAAACAATTGATAATGAGACGATAGTCAATCAGTGCTAATGAGTTCAATCGATTGTCACAACATCAGTGCATTGTCCGACGCGACGAAGAAGCAACGTTAAAACTACTTAAGCGTATAGGACTTAAAAGTTGCAGCGAACATTTTAAATTACGAAATACAAGAAGTAATACGGCTTGCATGCTCGTCAGACTAAGTTCACTAATTTTGAAGTGGTAGTAGTTTATATGGCAATACCACATATAATATCTCGAAGATCTTTCGGAAATTCCGTTTTCTTAGTATACCAGCAGGATTGCAAAAAAATTCACGAATTGATACTAAAATATGAGTTGAAAGGAATAAAAAATATTTTCTTATGGGTCGAACT